AACAATTAGTATGAGAAATGTCGGTCAACATTTGACTCAATGATCGGTCGTATGTGATGACAAGGTCATTTTATCGACCATAAAACTTGTAACTGTCTTTTATATCTTATGAGAATTACATTAAATGGTTGGCAATTTGTTTTCTTAATAAATATGATTGTTTGGGGAAAAACACGATTATATTTTATTTAAATCTAGATTCTGAATTAACATTTCCCTCATTCTTAGAATATTTTTCCTTGTTTTTTAAAGACCGTAATTTAAAAAAAAAACTAAATTGAAAAGTCACACAAAATATATAAATTATTTGAAGAAATGATGGAAAATATTTTGTTATTCCTACAGTATAAATTCAAATTATGGAAAACATAACCTGTTAATTTTTTTCTGTTGACAATTTTACCAAGTTCATAGCAGAAATAACAATATATTATCAATCATTCGATTTTCCTGAGATAGATGATTGAGACAAGTTTGTTTATATTGATACGGAAAGAGTAACTTAATAGTCTTGCTCATTTCATGATGGGAAGGAAAACCCCCATTTGAGGGTATATACTCAGTTTTGAGGTTTCGACTAGATTGTTAAAGGTACTGTGCCCCCAAACGTCAATCAAAACCTTTAACTCTCACTCTTTAAATTTTGAAAAAAATGCCTGTTTTATTTTTCTATGAATGTTCAAAATATTCATCTTAAATATTTAAAAATTTTATCTTTCCTAGATCAATTTTCTCATGTCTCTTTATGACTGGGGATAGTTATTTGTTATCATTATAATCCTTAGAATTTAGAAATCCTTTCTTAATCAAAATTAAGCAAAATAAATACTTGCAAAATTTTTGTTTTTGCTCTAAATGTTTAAAAGTATATTAAATTGGTACAATATGGTGCATTTCAAGATGTCTAACTTAGATATTTTGAAATGTATCACTGAACCAATTATACTCTTGGGAGGTTAGTAATTGTATAGTTTTTAGTTGTTTTTCCTGAGTTAACTGTCCAAAATTAATTCTATTTTTAATGTTATCCATGCTTGTAGGTTTCGGAGAAATTGGCACTTTCGTGACTTTGAAAAATCAAACAAATCAGTATTTTTTAAGTTTGTATTCCAGTGTGCATACCTTTACTTTTAGCAACCAAAAACTGCATTCCATGCAGGGAATAGACAACATTTAGGCCCTGTATGAGGTATATTTGGGATGTTATGAGTCTATCACTAATACTGATCTACTAAAAAAGATCATTGAACAATAAGCCTTTATGATTCCTAAATACTTGTAGGCCTGTTATTTACAGTACTTTGATTCATGTAAATGAGTAAATACTCTTCTATTTGAAAAGTTTCATTTTTTTCCCTCTTTAGTAGGTTTTTAAGTTTTTAAGTGACATTAAAGAATAGAATTAATTTCAGCCAGTCTAAGTAAACCACAATAAAACATAAATGCAATTTTGGTTAAGAGATTCATTAATTATAAATAAGTATTCATTTTTTTACTCTAACTCAAAGTGGCAATTATAATTATATTCAATATATTGCCCAAGGTTTACTCTGATGAATCCACCATCATACCATTTATTTAAGGAATAACTGTCTAATTTTTTGGTTTCATGATGTGATCAATCGAATGGCTTGCATGATAATTTGCATAAACGCCAAAGGCATTTATGCATAAAATTATCACGCAAGCCAATCGAATGATCATCGTCATGAAACCAAAAAATCTGACAGTTATTCCTTATATTTACATGCTCTTGATTCTGCAAATTCACGTGCTACAAGCCCCGCTTCTGTCTCTATTTGTCCTGCCCCACACATGATTTTTTTTCACCACGCCTATCGATGAACCAGTAGATTTATGTAGAAATAAAGTATTTTTACTATTTGAAATTTTATCTCAGACAAAGACATTGGAAATGTAAATATATAGGAATCAGTTCAAATGTCAAAAGGAAGAGGCATATATATTTCCACACAGAATTTACAGGATATTTTTGATAAAATTTTCATTTGCATGATGTATTTTCATCCATTAAAATATATTTAATAAGATTAAATGTTGCTTGCAAACCCAAGTTGTCGAATATGTCAAAACAGAATTTAAATACTGGTATGAGATTTAATGAACCAGGTATCAAATATAATAAGTATAATTTTTGATAAAATCATGAGCTCCGAATAATTATGTGTTACTGTAATATATATATCTGTAGTCCCTAAGGATTTTATTTCTCTATCATTATAAGGAGAGCTCCATTGTAACATTGATAAACATATAGCTTAAACAGGGATATTGATTACAACACCTGTTGCAAGCATAAATAGTTATATACTTCAGTCAGAGAACTGTAGCTTTTATATTACAATGTAATATACTAGGTCTTTGACTGTGTTCTGTTCTTCCATGGATCTATTTATTCATTCATATCTGGAATTATCAAAGAGTCAGTAGGACATGTAGTGTTTGTCATGTCTGCCTCTATTTTTCCATCCATCAGTCGTTCTAATCTTCAAAGAAACTGTTCAAGATACATGTATTTTTATTAAACGTCAATCGAAGAAGAAATTGATGAAAACAATTCAACTGTTTCATAATTTTCTGATGTTAACCTTTCCTATGACCTTGACCTCACTATTTCTTAATTTGTTTTGATTGTTAGTTACCTCACTATTTCTCAATTTGCATTTGCCTTTCAAGAAACTCCTCAAGGTATTTTCATCAACTGTCATACCTTGATACAAATTTGGGGATAATTTAACCATGTTAAAATTTCCTGATTTTAACCTTCCCTATGACCCTGAACTTCCTTTTTCAAGACAGTTTTATCAGACTTCATACAGGATACATATTGGTGAGAACAGCAGTGATTTAAGTTCTTTGACTTTGACCTTTCTATGACCTTCAAGCTTGATCTTCCATATGACCTTGCCTACCTAAATCTCCATTAGAGCAGGTCCACCGTACCTACTGAAATCATAGATAAATTTGATACATAACAAGAGAATAAACTTTAATAAACAAACAGTCTTTCTTAAACTGTTAGATAGATATTGTGATACCGTGCTATAAAAGGCGATAGCTGAAATAAAGATATCTGATCTGTATAAATAAAGATATGAAAATTATTCCTTCATTCATCATATTTTACTATTAGCTCAGACTGAAAAAACAAGGTACATTTCTCTTCATTTTGCAATACAAATGCACCATTGGGCGGGGCATTCATGTCATCAAGAACACATATTTCTAGTTTTATATAATTGCATGGCAGCTTATATGACCATGAATTGTGACACAAGACCTTGCTGAAATACCAGTGTGGAAGTTAATATGGTATGTTCGTAAGTCAAACAAAATATATAAATGCAGCTGAAAAATATTTTTACTGTTTACAGATAACATGGATAATGATTGACATTATATAAATACTGCATGTAGTTGAGTGTAACATTGAAAATTTTCACCCCAAGAAAACCATTGTCAACCGAGGCGCAGCCGAGGTTGACAATGGTTTTTGAGGGGTGAAAATTTTCAATGTTACCCTCAACTACATGCAGTATTTATTATATTATACTGAATGTTTTATACAAATACATATTACAGTGAACCTTGCGCGGATGAATTCTGCGCAGTCAATATTTTTCGGAATAACACCTGTCATCAAGCAATGTTAACTGTTGCTACGCTGGTGGGCGTGGCTTCATTATTCAGCGGGTAATAGTGTTTTTTAACAAATGTTTCTCGAGGAATCAGATTCAACTAATTTACATGAAAGTATAATATTATTACTTACTGTGTGTTTAACATCTGATTTGGAGGTTCCATAAAGTGCATGGAAAAATTGGGGAGGGATGTTAAGTCTGTTTTAATTGGTTGGGACCTTTGGAATTTGAAATGCATGTACATGTACCTAAAAATAGTAAAAATCCAGTATTAGCTTTAGACAAGTCACACACTGAGAGGGGTGTTAGAGATGTTTACTAAGGGTATCGACATTCAGCACAAATATAGTAAATTCCTGTATCTGCATGACAGAGTGAAACTAAATATTTCTGAGTCAAGATAAGAGGGTCTATAATGTCACTTGAACTGTACAGCTAATGAGGCTTGCGTGTTTGCTCATGCTCTGATTGTCTGGGAGCCAGCAGTCTTTTGTTGTGAAGGACATCCTTGTATGCACTGTTAACTGATAACTGTTGTGTCACCAGGATTTCCTGACTGATAACCACCACAGCAATTGTTTTGTCTCCGAGATTCTCAGCATCACACTTTTTTGGTTGTGGACTATTATCTCGTGATTTTGCAGTGATTCCTGACTATGTATATATATACATGTACATAGCCTGAAAAAAGGAGTTTCATAATATCAATATTATTAAGGACTGGAGATTCAGGATCTAAATTTAGCATACATGTGTATTACGCTCAAATGAAGTGATTGTAATATCTAATCTTGGATAGACTGTTTTCATATTCACTGTGCATATTGTGTAAGTATGGGATCTATGACTATATATATGCTAAAAGCTGATAAGCAATGTTAAGAGTATGTAAATCTGTGTTATTAATTTTACTAGATTTATGGCATTTAAAAAAAATATTGTTATCACTTTGACACAGATACACAAATGTAATATAAGAAGTACAGAAGGGTCCCTAGTTTTTTAGTTACAGATACACAGATACACAGGTAATATGTTTGCATCGTGTATATATGTGTAATTATTGTACATGATGACAGCCTTTCACAGAGTGTATTAGATTGTATGCAGGGTAACGAAGCAAGGCTTGATAAAATATGTATCATTTATGACAACTGTAAACTATGATGACTACCTGCAACTTGATATTATAGAAATGCTACAATTAAGGAAATAGATGTGACAGTGACTAACATTTCACATTCATCAGCTAAATTAGACATTTCAGATGTAGAAAAACAAAAATCTACATTAGCAATGTAAGACAAATGAAATATATGTCAAAAAATTGCCTTTCAGAAGATGAAATTTCTGTAAGAGTGGAAGCAGCCAGTGTGTATGTGATGTAGTCAGAAAATGTTTGCTACCAACCATGAGCAGGACGCCGAGAAGCAACAGCTACGAAGATTACTGGAAAGAATTCAAGGACATCGCCAGCAGCACTGATGGGGAAAATGAAGAGGAGGAGACCAGTAAAACCCCTGATGGTAAGTTATTTTTACTGTTGATAAGGACAACATAAGCAAATATCCAAATTTTACAGTATCATTGTTTACATGTATTATGTAAGAAATAAAAAAAACAACATAGTTTTACAAATTGGATATTTCTGGAGACCCAGAAGTATCAGTTTCATATGTCAACTAAATATATCCCAGTGAACTTGAAATAAAAGACATCATAGAGTCTGCTACATCTGTCATATTTTGATGTTTTTCTGACTATAGATGATAAGGGCCAACTAAAAACTAAATTGTACAGTCGTTTGACCAGTTCCGAATTTTGATCAGTTCTGAATAATTAATAATTTAAGAGCTGATCATTAATAAATTCAAAAGTGCAATCATAAATTCATACCTATGGTATGAAGGCTTATTTATGAGTGTTAGATTTATGTGAAGTAATGATTTTTTGCCGTCAGTTTGTGTTCGCTATCGTACTTGAAACAGGTGACATACTTTTACAATGCAACAAATCTGAATCACCGCGACGCGTTTGTCTGCAGAAAAACGTCTGTAAAGACATCAATTTTTCACATAAAGCAACATTTCAACTATCAAAAGTAAGTTTCAATATTATGTATTTTAACAAATATCAAAAGCTTGCCAAAAATAAATAATTAGACCACTGGAAGATATCGGAATATTTTTTTGTTGTCATTTTACTAGTTCCGAATACCCATTATAAATACTATAATACATTAGTTTTCTGTTATTTCTTCATTGTAAATGTGACTGTTATTTCTCTTTATCCTTTAGAAATACCATGTACTTACTGGTAAGCATTTATTTTAACTTTTCCTAGGCATGTCAGTTGATGATGTGTGGGACAGATATTTTTAATTTAGGATCGAATTGCATGGGAATCGCTAAGATATTCGGAACTCGTTGGCTTATTCTTAACTCGTAAAATGAGTACCAATGTTAACTTGCTAAAATAAAAAGTTTTTTTGAAAGGCTGAACTTTTATGAAACAACATTTAATTCTGCAAGTCATTGAACTACTACATGTAGTACTTTGACAAACAAATTAGATTTTGAAATAATGCTGTCATATATTTATAGCACCGGCTAATTGGTTTCCTATTCGCAACTGGTCAAACGACTGTATGACAAATGAGATGACTTCGGCTTCTCCATCATCAACTTTATGTAGTAATATCCCACTATCACCTCAAGAGCATGCCCCGAGTATGATCAAATTTTAAACCGTGGCAGGCTACTGACAGATAAGTTGGTGGTACAGGGATTTCAACAACCTTAAAATCAGCATTTTGTAAATTCTATGGTTGTTATAATGACTTTGTTAGCAAATATAACCTATCATTTGATTGTATTTTGGCTGATGTGTTTCATACCAATTGTTAGGCCTTTGCTTTTGTACTGAATTTTACTACATAATGTTCTGTCTACCTAATAAAAACATACACAGCGGGTGTGACCAGCAACAGGGGATGCTTACTCCTCCTAGGCACCTGATCCCACCTCTGGAATTTCCAGGGGTCCGTGTTTTATGCCCTCTTCACAGATTTGTATTGTTTATAGATTTTTTGAGATCGATAACTTTTTGTTGTCTTCATCTTTTTCATTATAGTGTATATGTTTCCTTTGGCTTTTTTGATTCTAGTTTTATTTCAGTTATTGCATTAATTGTCCTAAATATTTGAAAAAAGATTTATAATTTTTTTCCCTGCAGAGATTTTAGATCTATAAAAAATACTTTTACAGTAGATCACCAAATTGCTACACCTTATTTTTGCAAGATAATTATTTGATAAATAATAATTTATTTTATGATTGAATAATTCTTAGCTCTCTGATTGGCTGAGAAATCCAACATTGTAGAAAAAATACCACATTTTGTTGTGCAAATGTTCATTTACATTCTCTGTGAAGTGTTTGTTTAATGAAGGTTAATTCTGTGTTGTAGAAGGAGAAGAGGAGGCAGACTGGTTAAAAGAGGCAGGCTATGAGTTTATTGTTAGCCATATCACAGGTAAGTTATGGTCAGATACATACTACGTACAACAGTGTCAGCAATATACATGAATATCACATGTAAGTTATGGTCAGATACATACTACGTACTACAGTGTCAGCAATATACATGTATATCACAGGTAAGTTATGGTCAGATACATACTACGTACAACAGTGTCAGCAATATACATGAATATCACAGGTAAGTTATGGTCAGATACATACTACGTACAACAGTGTCAGCAATATACATGAATATCACATGTAAGTTATGGTCAGATACATACTACGTACAACAGTGTCAGCAATATACATGTATATCACATGTAAGTTATGGTCAGATACATACTACGTACAACAGTGTCAGCAATATACATGAATATCACATGTAAGTTATGGTCAGATACATACTACGTACAACAGTGTCAGCAATATACATGTATATCCCATGTAAGTTATGGTCAGATACATACTACGTACAACAGTGTCAGCAATATACATGTATATCACATGTAAGTTATGGTCAGATACATACTACGTACAACAGTGTCAGCAATATACATGAATATCACAGGTAAGTTATGGTCAGATACATACTACGTACAACAGTGTCAGCCATATCTATATCACAAGTAATGGCCAGATACATGCAACAGTGTATGTCACATGAGAATTTGCTAATAATATGATCAAAAGATATATGCAGAAGTTTTGAAGCAAATATGCTAACTTATGATTATGCTTAACAGCTAACGAGAAAGATTGCATTAAATTTTGAGTGTGCTAATTGATGTACATTAACAGTTATGTAACTCTAATAAAGTAATATAATTATATAAAGAACTTCAAGATTCAATGAACAGATATGTTGACAAAGTTATTGTTCATGGGGATATGCATTTGTGGGCAATGGTGATCTGTGAAATCCAACAAAATTGTTTCTCCATGAACATGCAATGATGACATTGAAGTATCTGATTTGACATGGAGTGAATAATCAGCCATTGTCTAGACAAAATGTGTGGTACATGTATTCATGCAATATTATGTGTATGTTACTATAGTAATTTTTTTCCTGTTTGGGTGTTATTGATTTAGATAATATTGTTGGTTTTATGAGTTTTTGATTAAGAATACTGTAGAATTATTCATGTTGTAGGCATTATATTAGAGATCTTGTGTCATGACTATTGATTTTTTTCTATTTCTAGTACATACTACTTGACACTTCAGGATTTATATACATAAAAGCATCCTTGTAACTCAAATAAATCATAAAAAAAATTCTTATGTAAATTCTTTAAGTATTGCAGTGTATTTTTAAAATAAGAGCCATAATGAAAGGATAGGAAATTCCAACAGAATTAATATATGAAAAACAAGTTGATTACACATGATGTAAAAATTTATATAAAAGCTGGTATCATAAAATTTGTTGCTAATCTCGACATAAGAAGTACCTTGTTAATTTAAAATACTGTGCTCAACTGATACCAAGTCTTACGTCATTTAAAAACACTTTTGAGGTGAAATGCTACACCAAAATTTTATTTAATGAATGTTTGAGACATATCTTTTGAAACATGGTTTCAGCATGGAAAGATTGATATAAGCTCTTAATTATTTTATATGAATTTTTTTGTATTTTTTCAAAGAAAATGTAAAAAAAAATGTTTTATTTGCAAATAAAATGCTTTAGAGTTTAAAATTTGCTATTAATAAATGCATAATATAAATATATAATGAAACATGTCATTGGCAAGAAGACTTTTGAAATTTTTTAATAAAAAATCATTTATGAATATAAATTATAATTTGTTGATATTTTTTAAACCTTTGGATAAAACCTCCAAGGAAGGAGTTACCTATAGAAAAGAAATATGATGCAATTATATTTCATAAAAAAAAAATGAATCAAAATTGTGAAATTTAAGCAAACATGTTAATTTTTAAATTTGGACCAATCCCGATCAAAATTAAACTGATCCCAGCCAAAATTATATTAAATGGAATAATAAAACAATTTCACAAGAATACTAGGTTCCTTTGGTGTAATATGGTTTACAAAATAATTGAACTTATCAATCATATGGATTTCTCGGTAGAAACTGTATGAGATAGGCATTAAATTAGTAATAAATGAATTTTGTATTGATTTTGATCGGGGTCAGTTTAATTTTGACCGGGATTGGTTCAAATTTGAAAATTAGCAATTTTTCTAAAGTTTCACAATGTCATTTCAATTTCTTCATAGAATATGATTGAGATTGTATTTTTCCCCTTTGTGACTTGTTTCTTAAAGATTTGAACAAAATGTTTAAAAAATATTAATAAAGTGTTCTATTTTCATAAATAATTTTTTATTAAAAAAGTTAAATTGCCTATCTGACTCTTCTTGACATGTTTTATTAGATATTTATATTGTGCATTTATCAACAGCAAATTTTAAACTTTAAAGCATCTTATTTGCAAATAAAACAATTTTTACATTTTTTTTGAAAAAATACAAAAAAAAATTCATGTAAAGTAATAGGGATGTGCGATTTTATCTGTATACTGGTATATCGTGATTTTTTTATTGCGTGATACGTATCGTGATACGGAGACTACCAGTATTTAGTATGTAATTATAAATTCCGGATATAATTAATTTTTTTGTTCAAACTCTTGAATTACAATAACAGGAATTGTAAACAATGTTGTCAAACAGTAAAACAACGGCACCCTAGCATCCAAACATGCTTTATTAATATATAAATAAAATTAAAAAAGTGAAGTTATGTTTTCAAACTATATTTGTCAGAAAAATCATGGAAATTCATTTAAAATCATAGTAAAAATTATGTGTAAAAATATCTTAATATTATCGTGATATTTTTTGGACAAATCGTGATATATTGCGATATAAAATTTTTGGTGATACCCATCCCTATATAGTAATTAAGAGCTATTTATATATATAATATCAATGTCTCTATGCTGAAACCATATTTCAAATTAGATGTCGTAGAGATCCTATAGAGAAGTTTAAAAACCTGTAAAATGTGTATACTTATTTCTGCTATTGTTTTTTGGCTGGATTGCAAAGCAAAATTTGTTCTGTGAATTTACATCTTTTGATTGGCCTATCTGTGTCAGTTTTGTAAAGCAGTTGTGTTTAGTTCTGGTATAGGTAGCTTATGTATGATAGAGTCTTCAATTTTCACTGATAAGTAAATTGGCATGAAATGTCTCAAGAACCACCATTATGGTTTACTTTGTCCTTGATTTTGACCTTGACACAGGTTACATTTCCCTTGGCCTTAACACATTTGACATCACTATTGTTTAGTTTGAACACATTTACCTGTTGTGTGGATGACCAAAACTAAATTAGGCAAAAATTGATTTCAATAATATCAGTAATTTCTTCAGAGTTGACTTTGGCCATGAGGTTTGACGTTGAAATCAAAATGTTATAAAATACATTCTGTGTTCACTTTTGTCTTAATTTTCAAACTGTTATATGATTTGAGGGGGCATGCTAGCTTCTAATCAGTTCTCTGATTAATGAACAGGTCAGAATAGAAAGGATAGCTGACACCAATCATGATTTCAATTTATTAATTCGTGACAGCTTTGAAATTTTGCCATGTAGTCGAAAGAGATTTCTTGTTTTCAAACCAGGTGGAAGAGAATTGACAGATGAAGAAATCCAAGGTTTTACAGCAACCTTGACGACAAGTCAGGCCGCTGTCGTCCGACGTCGGGTGAACACACTTAGCAGCACCTTCAGAGCAAAACAGAAACACAAGACAGATGTTAGAGACATCTTCCCAGAACAGATGGATAACCAGGTATAATGTGCTGTCCTGATGTTAATACTTTTTAACCGGGTTTTCCATCAGAAAAATGGTGAAAATGGCGGGTGGCCAAAAGAGTACATCATTTATCCAGATTACTCCTCCTACAGTTTTGAAGATTAAATTTTATTCAGCAGATGAATTGTACATATACCAAAGACCTGCATGGTTCTTAGATTTTGATTTTTGATAATTAATGAGAAAAATACCAGTTGTTGAACTTAGTCATTTTTTTTTTTTGCAAAATATTGCTTATAGGGTACATCATTTATGTGGATAACTCCTGCTTCAGTTATCAAGATAAAAAAATTTATTCTGCAGTTCAGTGGTGCACATATCAGATTTAGATGTAGTTTCTTGGAATTTCAGTTTTGATGATTTATGCAAAAAATACCAGGTGTTAACCATATTCATTTTTATGAAAATATGTTCATAGGGTACACTGATATTTTCAGGATGTCACTCCCTACAGTTTTCAGAATAGAAAGCTTTATTAATTTATGTCAGAAATACCAGTACTGTTCACATAAAAGAAAACCTAGTTTGCTGTCACAATCATATTGCTTTGCTCTTAAATTGTTAAAGATGTGACAATAGCATTTCATTCACATGTCCTGGATAAGTTAAAAGTTAGCTATGTGTGATAAGTGCCATTATGCATTTGCAATGACTGACAAGGAAAATTGTTGCAGTTATTGTCTTTCAACTTTCTTAAGGATCCCCTATACACTAATGAAAAATGTTTTTGGACTTAGAGACATTGTGTTGTATAAAGGTGAAAATATTGAATTGTTTCTCCCTCTCTATTTATTTGGAAAAAAAAATTTCATTACAAAGTACTGTAGATCACTATATTTTTGTGACACTTTATTTCGAGAGGTAGCTATTTGATAGTTAGTAGGGAGACAAAATTTTTGTGAGCTGTGGTTTCTGTTGTATATAATCCTTAACAATACAAATACGCGAGAATAAAATTTTCACGAGCAGACAGACTCGTGTAAGTATGTGAAAATAAAGTTCTCGCGAATAAAAAGTGATTTACAGTATTGATGAACAATAACCATATTGCTTACTTAAATTGGGAAACACATGCAAATGAACTATTCGATTGCTTCATCTTGGTCTAGTATAGTGTCAAGAATAATTGAATTGATTATAAATTGCGTATTATACAGTATATTTCTTTTACTCAAATTTAATCTTAAATTTAAATCAAAGGACATTGAAACTATATTCTGTAATAGTGATAAATATACACGAACCAGTATCAATTCTTTGTTTAGTAGATAAAAAATATTGAATTTTTTTTTAATCTTTATTTTTAAAAAGTCCACCAAATCTACCTCTCACACTAACACAGAAGGTACAGATGACATTAATGTGTCTGCAGTCCCTAGGAGGAACACAGATAAAAGGCTTCCCTCCCTGCACAAACTGAGGGGGGAGTACTCCATGTCTGGTAGGAGGAATGAGGTTCTCAAGGACAACAGTGTATCTGGTGAGTCAGTGATGATGACAATAATATAAGTATTATAACCAGAGCTTCATATCAATGTCTTATCATAGTGAAAATCAACATAGTGTAATAAGTAGCTTAGATGCCAAGTAGTTGTATTTTAGCTGGCATATTGTTTACATTTGAACATTTGATAAGTCTCTTTAAATCTGAGGGAGAAAATTTACCCCTTTAAAAATTCATGAGAAGTTGCAGAAAATATTTTTTCCAACAAAGTTAGTAAGGAATATTCTTATTAATAGCCATGAAATTAGATCACAAAAGTAAGATGGGAACATTTAATATACATTGTAATATACACTCATGTCCATGTTTAACACTCTGGTCAGTTAAAAATTTTAAAACCTTTGAATTTGAAGTTTCCTTTTTTCAGTACCTTCAGATATTGAGCTGATCTTTTCTTTTGAGTTTTGTGCTTTTTGGGCCTACTATAAGTAAAGCTACGGGTACTGAAAATGCTACGCAAATGATACTTTCATATTTGGGGTTGGGGGTATTTGCAAACTTTCAACTGATTTTTGGTGTGTTAATTGTTGATGAACTGCTGGTTAATTCAAATTTCATTAATTCAAATTAAGGTTGTCATATTTTGAATAGATCAACTTTTAGTCCTGAATATTGAAATGTTTTATATTCCAGTTGTGAGTAGGCATTTTGTTTTGTACCAGCAGATCTATTATTTTCTGTCACGTACATATCTTAAAAGTTTATGGTTGCTAATGGTCAGTATAGACAAGTATAAATAATGGTGCAGGATTTTTCATAGCAACTGATAAAAAAAGAGAAACATCATTAATTTTATGAAGGAATATGTATTCATTATACAATTCATTAAGAAAATACATGACACATAGAGAGCTCCAGTTTTTTTGCAATTTGCTAATCAGATCAGTGGTAGAAAATTTTTGTCTCCATATTATAAATTTTTTCATGACTTTGATGAATATCATCAAAGATATGTTAGGTTCAAATGTTTGTCCATATGTCAAAATTATGTTGTTGCCATCAGTGTTTCGTAATTATTTGCTGCATGTGGGCTTCAATAAATTCTTCAAAGTTGGGAAGAAAATATATTTTTCCTTGAAACAGGCTTAGAGAGGCAATTGTACATTAAATTCTGTGGGAAGTATATCTTTTATCAAGCGGCATAACTAATTCACTTGTCAATATAATTAAGGACTTTATATTTGACTGTGTACTATGTATGTAGATGAGGAGGACTTTTTTGACCTGGGTCCTATAATAGGTGAGTAGTGTAAGACTGCATAGACACAGATTTATTGTGTTCTTACATCAACTATTTCTGAGACTCATTTCTTCCACTTGTAGATATATACTTGTCTCAATCTATCAACTTGCTTTTTGTTCAATTTCATTGAAAAGTCACATACTATACAAATCCACTGACTTGGTTTTGTAAACATTTTAAGCAACATCACTCTTTGTAACTCTGATCTTACATGTAACTGTATAAAACACTCATATTACTTTTCAGTATTATGAATTTATTGAGACAGTGCCGTATGGATGTGTGTGTTTATTAATTTAAAATACTGTGACAGAAATTTTTTGGCAAACTTTGTCATAGTGAGTTTACAAATAACATTTTTAAATTGTTTAAATAAAATATTAATAAAATAGAATATGCATGCTTATCTTGAGGTTTAATTTATGAAAAAGGCAAAAACTTGGAAAAAGATGTAAAATTGATGAATCAATGATTTAAGATTTTACTTTTTTAACCATGCACAGGGCCTTAGTTTGTCCATGTCTGTATATTATTAACATATTATGAATATTGTTTCAGGAATTGAGATGCTAAGCATGCAACCTAAAGGTACTTTTAATAAATACATGGGGCCAAGTTCTCCTGAGGGCCACGGGAGATCTCTAACATCAATGCCGAGCATTTCTGATGAAGACATTGAGTTTGAGCTGAGATTGGAGGAAACTGCAAAAACCAAGGTATTTTTATGCTTCTAAGTGTTATGAATATTCATTTGATAGATACTTTTATTAATTAAGTTAACTTGCAAGTCTATTTCGTGTAAATATCTATTCATTTTTTTTGGGGGGGGGGGGAGTTAAATGTTCTTATGTACCCTCTTTTAACATACATTCATTTGAACTATAACCCTAAAATGAAGTTTTTGACTTTGACATATTTATAATTTGACTTGCAGGGATTTTTCTAGCTATTTTATTTGGCTACCCTTTTCTCATAAAGGGGAAAAATGAGAACAATTGATTGACATTAACAGTTAGCACTAAAGGTTTGAATATACTATGGCAGTCCAGGGGCGTGTTCCCCTGGAAATATTATCACTTAAAGTGGCAAATATCTGCATCCTGAGAGCTAATCTGGGGGATCGTTTCTAGAACTACCATAAATAAAAACATTATGATTTTCAAATGTTTCATGTATGTTTAGTCAGAAAATTTTCTGTGACTGAAGGGGAATTTTGACATTTTTTTCTACAGGGAAAAGGTACTGTTTACTGGTAGTTAAAACAACATTGATAGATCCCTGACTTATATATTGATGTAATTCTAATCTTATTAACAGAACACCATGCAGTCAGCAGGATTAGAAAGTGAGGATGAATTGCCGGTGAGTTTAAGTTTCACATGCCTTGTTACACTGAATTCCATTTCTGCTACTGCTACAGTGAAAAATAAACAAAGAAATGCTTGTTTTTACACAGAATTTTAGGATTATACCAGACAAATTAGGCTTAACCAGAGTGAGTGACCTGAGTTTAACTGATATGAACCAGATCAAGTCCTTGGCCCTCATTGAGTTGACTGCACTTCTAGAAAGAAACAGTATTATGTACCATAGACGGAAAGGCAAAAAGAAGGTTAAAGGTAGATATTTTATTTACATCGTAGTTCCTTGTCTTTTTACTGTTAAATGTATTTTATACTCACAGCTGTATACATTTCTATTAGTCTTTTTTAGCATACTTAGTGCTGTGATGAGAATATATTACATGACTTCAGAATCATATTGTAATGCCAAACAAGTCATCAAAATGATACATTTATTATGGTGCATTTCTGTCCCCTATATTTAAGTTATATTTCTACAGATTATGTTTACATTGTGTTGCAAGTAAAGGCCCTTTTACAATTGGCACACAAGCAGGCATGACAAAATATTCGTGCGACCGAAAAAAGTTGATTTGGATTGTAAACTGTTGCCGAAATAATCGCATATGAAAAAGTGTTCGTACGTAATTCGCAAGATCTAAAGCGACCGTTATGCGATGCAAACGCATTAAATTTTGCGATATATCTTGCGTCTATATGCGACTGATATACAATGAAAGCGAGTGTTGTAAGATAATGTGATAGGATCGCACGAGTGATCAGGTGATCGGACGATTGAACATGCGCCAATGCGATTGGACGTGCAGTGCTCGAGCGATTATGCGTTCCATTGTACGAATGCTTGTTTGAGTGCATTTAGGCAACACCATTCAGCCACACAATTCTAAATTTAGAGAAGCTGACACAGTGCTGCAATTTTTCTTATTTCTTCTAATATTGTTATCATTTAGAATATGCATAATTAATTATTGACCGTATTTTTATGACAGCAAAGTGTTTTCAGCGGTTTGATATCGTATTGGTGTATATATAAAATATATATGATATATATATATAATATTTGCATGGCAAATTGAAGCTGATAAATTGTGCAATGATAGTAAAACATTGCAAGATTACATGAGACACGTTGAGCAACAGTCTCATGGTCGAAAAACACACGCATAGACAGCTGTGATTCATCTTACGACCTTTAAAAATCGTAAATCACTCTTACGAGTACACAAAATGTTGTAAGACATTCGCACTAAAGTTTGTGCGTTGCATTGCGATAATTTGGATCGCATTTGGTCGCGTCTGCATGTCCACTATTTTGAGGAGACCTGATGCGACCACTAAAATGCATGCAACGAATGCGAGACATCGTGCAACGTATGTGAGAGATCGTGCGAAGCTAAAAAAATTCCGACACAAAATGTTGTAAAGTGCTCGTGCGACAATTGTGAAAGGGCCTTAATATAAGGAGCAGCATAAATGTTGCACCATAAATTGTGTGCACAAGAAATATCATGCTTGAAAATATGTGTGTACACAATGTGAAATAATCTGTTTTCAATTTGTTTTAGATAATGGTATATTTGGAGTCTCGTTACAAGCATTGCTAGACCATGATCAAAAAATACGACCAGATCAAACAGTCCCTATGGTTTTTGAAGATGTGAGTCATTCCAATCTTTTATTGTAGTAGTTATAATATATTGAATTGGAGGAAAAATTTGAAGTATTTTCAAATATTTGTCCAGAAATGTCACTTTAATTCAAAGGGTTTAGTATACTTTGTCAAGAATAAGCAGTTTCTTTGTATTAAATTGTATACAGTATTTTCAAGCTTCCTCAGCTTAAAGTGTAGACAGTAAGTTAAAGTCTTTGATGTCCAAAATCATGGAATAATTCTATACTTTTTTAGTTTATTTGAGCTAAAGGTTGAAGTGAACTTTTCTGAACAAAGATGTCTGATGTCTGTTGTGTGCTGTTTGTAAAGCTTATAAATTTTCAACTTCTCCAGAACCACTGGTCCAATTTCAAACTTGCCAGAAAGCATCCATAGATAATAAATTGAAATTCAAGTTTGTTCAAATGAAGAGCCATTTCTTCTTTCTAAAGGAGATAATTAAGAAATTCTGAAAATATGTGGGGTCACAATTTGTAATATCAATATACAAGCATCTGATATGCAGTATAATTTCTGTTTGGTGAAACTTGGTCTTTGGGGCTACGAAGGGGCCACAATAAGGGGTCAAATTTTTATTTGAGAATTTTTTATCTGTAGATGATTAAATTCATGGAACAGCATTGTTTGGAACAAGAAGGAATTCTTAGGATCCCTGGGTCTGCAGCTAGAGTCAAGGTAAAGATCAACAAGTAATGAGAACAAGAAGTATTTAGAGGTTTTTTAATCAATGATAGTTGATGATCCTGGTTCTCAGTAAAATACTTATTATTTCAGCAACTTCGACAAGATTTGGAGGATAAATTTTACTCAGGCACCTTCTCCTGGGTCGATGTGCTTCCTCATGATGCAGCAGCTCTGATGAAACAGTTTTTACGAGAACTTCCTAATCCTCTCCTTACTCACGAGTACATTGATGCTTTTGCTCAAGTAGAAAGTAAGTGCTTCTAAATATTAAAGGACTTCCTGTTGTTATGTGAAATATAATACTCCGCAATTCTTACAATTTTTATACATACACATTGGGATCTAATAGTCTAATAACAGACATCAAATTTTAATATACATTTTAATTTTTGAACTTTCATGTTATATTTATAAATATTTTTCTTTGTAGATATTAAAGAGAAAAAGTTTCAATTACAGGCATTAAATCTGTTAATTCTCCTACTTCCACCTGTAAATAGGAATACATTGAAGGTTGGTAAATACATGTTAAACTCACTAAACAAAATCTTGAAGCCTAAGAAATGCACTTAATGGTAATCTCAGTTGTAAAAATAAAAAAGAAGTTCATTAATAAATCTTGAATTTATTTTTAGTGCATAACTTGTGTGTATGGTTTAATTTCAGGTGTTACTAGACTTGCTGCTAAAAATCACTCAAAGGAGACAAAAAAACCTAATGGGACTGTCCAATGTATCCATGATCATGGCACCTAATTTATTTTTGTCCCCGTCTAGTCGATCCAAAACCAAAGCAATCCGTGACCTAGAAATCAGTATGGCAGCAGGAACCTCCAACATTGTCATGATGCTCATCAAGTACCAGAAAATTTTATGGACAGTTAGTATTGAATTTTAACTTTATTCAGTTGTCTTTTGTTGTTTATTAACCATATATTTTACATTTATTTAGTAAATATTTCTATCTAAATTTCTTTTTAGGTGCCTTCATTTTTACTTCATCAAATGAGACATCAGAATGATATGGAGATCCAAAAGAAAGCACGAGAAAAATCTGTAAGCACAGGGGTTTATCTATCCAAAATGAAGAGGAGAATATTTATTTGGCACACTTTTCAGTCTGTCCGTCTGTCATGAATTGTTTTCAAGCTGTTACATGTATTAAGAACCATTGAACAAAACATTGCTTTAGCTGCCAGCTGGGAATAGTCCATCTAAATTAAAATTTGTACAACGAATTCCAAATTGTTTGGTAGGAAACACTTCGACAAAATGCAGTGAATAATCCGTTAAAGTTTTGAAAAGTTTAGCTGAGCAGTTATTGAGAAAAATGAAATTTAAGAAAATGTGTATTTCATCTGTTTCCATGGAAATGGTGGCCATTTTGAAAATTTCATGTGTCCATGGCAAATCTAGAGTTGATTATCAGTTCTGTGAAGTTTCATTAAGATTCTTTCAGCCATCTGCAAGGTCATTTGCCAATAAAATTTTAATTCTAGCAATAGCAATATATTGCTTGACTTTGTAAATAAAAAAGAAAAGGTTGACTTTATACCAGGTATCTTCTAAATTTACATTTTGATCATAAGAAAAATATACTTTCATTGCATAAACTATTTCCCTTATATTAGGAAGTAATTTTATTTACGGTAAACTTAATTTTGAAACATTACCCAAGAGAAAGTCCTGTAGAAATGTCATATTTAAGGAAATTTTCTTTTCACCCTCAAATGTAAATTGAATCATACAACATACATGTCCCAGTGGTTAAATCTCAGTAACAAAGCTAAAACTGGAGAATTTCAGTATGACACAGCATTAAAGTTTAATTCTAATACTCTACATTATTCATCCAAATTTAGTCCATACACTGTACACTATACAGATTAGCTTTGGTGTGATGGACATAGATATCTCGAATACCACAGATATGTCATAGTGAATTGAAAGTCCAAGATTCTTTTTTCTTTTTAACCTCCATATCTCAAACCCTCACATGTCTCCAAGTTTTTAAGTCACCTGAGCTGAAAGCTCAAGTGAGCTTTTCTGATGACATTTTGTCTGTAGTCTGTCTGTCTGTCTGAAAATTTTTCACATTTTCAACTTCCTCTCCAGAACCACTGGGCCAATTTCAACCAAACTTACCACAAAGCATCTTTGGGTGAAGGAGATTCAAATTTGTTCAAATCACCCTCTTTCAAGGGGAGATAATTCAGAAAGTGAAAATAGGTGTTATCTTTTAAAAATCTTCTTCTCAAGAACCACTAGGCAATAAAAGTTGAAACTTATGTGACAGCTTCTTTACAAGTGTAAGTTAAAATTTGTTCAAATGATGACCCCTGGGGGTAGGATGGGGCCACAATGGGGGATCAAAGTTTTACATAGGCATATATAGGAAAAATATAGGTTTTCCTTTTACTCTGAGTTAATGATATGAATGATTACTAAGACAGCTCTGTCTGAGGGTAAATCACACAGTACTTACCTTTTCTCTTATCTAGAGAGTGGGAATGGGTAAGGTACTATTTGTACCATGATTCTCCCCAAGGTTCCCATTGATTAATAAAAACTAGGTGTCTCAATCTTCTTCAGATTTACTTCACCCAGAACTTAACATCAGTTCCCTAGGATACTTACTACTGGTGTTCATAACTTTTATACTTCTATTTTGCTCTTACCTGTAACTTCTTTATTGTTGATTCAACATCCAACTTCTTCAGCTAGCTTCTGAATGCCTAATTTCCCCCTTTTCCCTTTTGCCCTACTGTATATACCCTTTGGTTTGGTTAGTCCATTCCAAGGGTTGTCAGGTCATTCCACTATTTTCAAGTCTTCAATGAGTTTTACTCATTGACAAATGCCCCTTAACCATTACACCTATATATTCCTATGTAAAACTTTGACCCTCTGTTTTGGCCCCACCCTATCCCAGGGGGTCATGATTTGAACAAACTTGAAACTACACTACCTGAGGATACTTCTATATTAATAATGACTAATAATTGCTTTGCTTTTCTTTAGAAGAAAGTTTTCAAACATATTTTCAATAATATATTCCTATGGTAAACTTTGACCCCCTGTTGTGGCCTGGCCTACCCCAATGGTCGTGATTGGAACAAACTTGAATCTACACTACCTGAGGATACTTCTATTATGATATGACTAATCATGTTTTTGCTGTTCTCAAGAAGAAGATTTTTAAAGACATTTCCTATATACCCCTAAGTAAAACTTCGACCCCCCTCTTGTGGCCCCACCATACCCCGCGGGGGTTATGATATGAACAAACTTGAATCCAGAGTATGTATTGAGGCTTTCACATAAGTTTCATCTTTTCTTGCCCAGTGGTTCTTGAGGAGAAGTCGAAAATGCACAAAGTTTATAGACTATGGACAACAGATGGACACTGGACACTCTTTGATCAGTAAAGCTCACTTGAGCCTTTGGCTCAGGTGAGTTAAAAATGAATTAACTTCAAACTTCAAATGTCCATAGTAAAACATTTTACCAGATTGGTCTTCATGTTTACTCTTCTTGTGTATGCATATGTTTTAATAGCTATAATGATTATTCAATATTATATCTGTTTATAACTTATTTTTGAAGCAAATTGAGTTAACAACTGTAGTTCTTGAATTCAGTGAAATGAAATCATTCAATTTTTAGATCATGAAATTCCTTACTAGGAAAGACAAGTCAGATGTTTACAGGAAACCTGCAATAGCAAATGAAGTAAGTTATAAAAGATACGATAGATCATTAAGCAATTAATTTTACAACCAAAAAAAACATGGATTGCTGTTCCTAGAATTTGTAAAGACAAGTGAAGAGAAAATGAGCAATTTAAAAAACAAAGAAATAGATTTTCTTTGAAAATGAAGGTAAAAAAAAGTTAAGTTCTAGAATTAAGAAATACCATTTTACAATGTATAGTTACACTTGACAGCATTGGCAATCACTTCTTTGTAAAGTCCTAAGACAGGTTTTAAAGGATTGAATTTCTGATTTAGAGTGACTTTGAGGATGGTGTTATCAGGGTGCAGGCGCCCAGTCTTAATAAGAGTTGTGCAGCAGTAAAACTCAGTGGAGATACAACAGCATGTGACATCATCGACAAGTTCCGCACGGCTAACTTCACCCATAATGGAAGGTATGATTCACAGTGGATATCATACAAATAAAGCCGTTTTAAGCAGTAATATTGACTTAACAGAAAAGTATATCAAGTGAGCACATAGTGATTACTAGAACATAGAAACACATAGTGTATATACCCCGGTACTCTTTGATATTTGATCATGTGATCTTGTTTCATCTAATCAGAGAAATGGGAATTTTTTTTAAATATATTGATTAACATTATTAGCTAATTTACAATTTCTTATTGATTTAAGAAAAGTAGCAGGTTTTTTGGTACAGTTTAAGAACAAATAAAGAAGCAGATATTTTATTTGAAACTTTACATGCATTTTTTTGTTTAATGTACTGGACTAACAACTGAGCTGATTTTTTTAAATCATATCTTGATGATGTTATATTTTGTGATCTTGTTGAGATTTTGTCATGGATAAGATTCATTAAATGAAACTTTAATACCTGAGCTGAAACAAATCCTACTGATTATTTTGGAAAATATGATTAATAACAGTATTATTATGAATTATTTTGAGGAATGAAAAGTGCTCATTTCAGTATTGAAAATTACTCCTTATAGGAACAAGAAACGAAAGGATAATACAGCTCAAGGAATAGCTAACTTTGCAGAAACAGATGCTCATTTATTTGAAGTCGGAGGAAACATTGGTATGTCAAATAAATGTTAATGATTTAAAGTGTTTTTGGATATAATGCTTATTTTGTATTAAAAAAAAAAAAGATTCAGAAATGAAAATTCTTTTTTTTGTGTATCATTATTTTTATGTATTAACGGCATAACATATAATATTTGCTACTAGGTGAACGGTGTTTGGATCCTCAGACCAATATGTTGGCATTATACCAGATAAATCCAAATGCTGAGTGGGTCATCCGATCAGACCAAAATGCTGGCATTGTGCCAGATAAATCCTAACGTTGAATGGGTCATCCGATCAGAGAATGCAAACCTAGGATTCAAGTATGTACAAATCTAGGGCATCAGGTGCGAAATGGACACTTATTTTGTACAATGGCTGGAAGATGGTACATCTATAACTTATCCACAATCTGATGATCAAATTGTCAATCTACAAGTGGTCTTGTAGACCTGGTATCGTATATACTATGTATGAAATCCAACTTTATTGTTCTCCTTATGTTGTATTGTAAATTTTATATTAGCTTTATATCTTTTTCTTTCCAAGGTTGTGATATTTTTTGTCTCTGTTTCTCAGATGTTATTTTGTGGGTATTCTACTTTGTACACTTGTATTTTTATCTGGTATTTTTGCTTAAGGTGGAAGGAGGTGATTATTTGAATGTGTATGTCAGAAACTGTATGAAATAGTCCTCACTTTGATATTTGTTTGACTTTGTCTGTGCCATTGTGTACTGATTAAGTAACACTACATGTAATGATTCATAATCTGTGAACTACATGTACAGATGCACTTCATTTTGAGTACCCTAAAATTTGTACACACATGCAGTAGAAGAGTGTGAAATTGCGAAAATGACTGTGAAGAAGGTAGGAAATAATTGTAACCATATGGCTACATGCAGTGTTGTACACATAATTCACAATACCATGCAAAATGGAATTGAAGAGGAATTAAATGATTCCAAAACTATGATGTGGAGTTACAAGTATATATGACTGGTATTTCCATAATGCCAGTACATGTATTTCACTAACAATCACAGTGCTGCTACACTGAGAAATTTCGCCAATTAAGATCTTTTATTATCAACATGGTGTTAATGAAAACCATCAGGTTTGGCCCCATATATACAGTGCACACATACATCTACAAAGGTATAGGTTTAGTACCGAACAGTTCAGAGTAATACATATCATTATTTGTGATGAGGCATAAAACTAAGAATGTGATGATTTTTTTTAAAAACTTTTTAAAGCAGGTGATATTAAGAAATGCATTCCATAACACAGAACCTTCTAACACTTGTTTTTTTTTCTTCATTTGATTATTGTTGAATGACTGGTATTTTTTTTTACCACAGGTGAAAAGGTGGCATTTCTTTCATCCTATCTGTAGGTGCAAATTTTTTGGTCATGTTTAGGTTTTTTCCTCCATTTTCATGATTTTAGGCATGATTCACTGTTCAGGATGCCATATCGTGAAAATTAATTTTTACATTTATCTTGTGTAACATTGAACTGAAAACATATTTCTTCCCCCCTTTTTGTGTTAAATACTTTTTTCCTATAATCTATTCTCTTACCAACACTTGAAGTACCATTGAAACTGGACATCAGCTTCTCTGAGCAAATATATGCTTGGTATCTATTAACATACCAGCACTAGATTTTAGGATTCATACAAACAACAAGACTAAAGAAAAATCATATTGACTTTTTGCCCATTTGTGAAGAATTGTATATATATGCATCTTTTCTCAAGTTATCAATTCTTTTCCTCAGAAATTTGGTCAGGAGTGCTATTAAAATAAAATCTAGTCACAATTTAAGTGCTCGAAATGTCAATCTTTGCCATAAAGCTATGCCATAAATAATGTGCCAACACATTTTGGATTAGTTCCATAGCAGTTTGCACATAATCCAGTATATGCTCAGCTGAAGTCAAAGACGAGAAATTTAAGAGATGGACATTAAATTTCTATTTTAAATATATTTAATGAAAGATTTTGTCCTTGTAAGAATTTGTCTTACTTTTGTTTTTTTCTGCAACGTACCAGGTATAATATGAAAGTTTAAAAGAATTACTTTGAAATAAAGATAATCATTGATGATTGTAATTTAACTGGAAGACAGCTTTCCACATTAAAACTGATTTATAGCCATTTCCATCATTTTCAACTCCTGCTCTCAGACAATCATGTTTTCACACATTAAAGATTTTAGTGTTTATGAGCAAAAGGCATACCTATACATGTCAAAAATATGTATTTAATTATGGAGTTGATATATTTAATCATTGGGAAATGGTTTGTTTCAGAACATGATCTGATGAAATCCATATTATACTTTTTTTTATATTTCTTTTGTTTCATTAATTGAGATGCTCAATTGTCACTTCTGATGTTGAAAAATGTAATGTACATTACTTTTATGTTAACAATATAACATATAGGTTATTTGTTGATGAAATATGGAATTGGGGAAGTGATTTTTTTCAGGGATGAAACTATCTAAAGGTTATTGATAATTTTAATTCCTGTGTACTTGTCTTAATTAAATCTTTTTATGTAGAAAACATATTTCATATGAATGTAATGGTAATGGTTTGTAATTGTTATTGCAGGGCTGTAACTGGGTTTCTGGAAAGGGGACAGGGTTGGGTGGAGGTCTAGAGAGCTCTAGCTCTCTTCTTTAAGCCATAAAATTTTTTAAGTGAGTAAATTTACCATTATTGTGATTTCTGCCTCATATATCTTTGTTCTTTGAACAATTAAAAAAATCCTAGCAGCATCAGATGACAATGAACTTATTTTATTTCAATAATAAAATTTTCGAGATTTTTAATGCATCCTACCTTCTGACGACCTTTACATGCAGACTTGTTACATAGTTTTTCTATTGTCAAGAAGTGTCTTAATCAATGCTAAGAAGCTTCATCACTTGTGTTAACTGGAATTTAGATTGATAAAGTTCATTTATTATGATATTTTATTCATTATTAAGTATACTAATAAATGATGGTGGAATTAGAATAGTACTACTTGTATATTTAACTTACACTCCATTGGTGGGTCATGCTTTCTACACAGGAGGTAACAATATAGATAATGTAACAAATATGGTTATCATCTGATGTTCGTAGGTTAATAACACTAATTCATTTCATAATATGAAGCACATTGTAATGTATTGTTAAAAGTTTGTTATGTCATATAAACTATTAATTACATGTTTATTTTCCTGAATATTGTTATTAAATGTTCTCTAAAAATATTGTTTATGGTTAATGTTTTTATATATACATGTATGTTCATTTTCAAGCAAAGAAATATTAATTTAACGTTCTGCACTAAAGAGGCAAAATTTTGTTCATGTTCCTATTTGTTGTTGCCTAATGGTTACATCCTCGCAAACCACAGTTACGAAGTTGTCAAAAAAATATTTTCCATGTAAGAGATATTTTATGGACAGAAAATTGAAATGCACTTGCAATAGCTTAATTTTTCAAAATATCTAGTCCTTTTATCCACGAGTATTCAATGGCAAAATAATATTCAAATCGCATCACATATGTTTATGAAGAGCAAGCCAGCATTCAAACTTCTGATAACAGGTGCTTATACTAATATTTATCTATGTAACACAAACTTGACAAACTTTAACTTTCAGTGATAACAAGATGGATTATTTTCTCGTAAAAATAGCTAAACAAGAAGTTTGAATGGTACAAGTAGCGTGCAAAATGCTGACTTCATACAAGAAAGAATATAGCCCTATAACATCAACTGATTTGTCAGTAGCCTTCCTCATAAAAATTGATCATATTCAGAACATGCTCTTGTATGCCAAATCACTTGGGACCCGGTCAAACAGCATTTCAGGTGATAGTCTGATATTACTACATAAATAGAGGAAAGTGACGACAGAAATGCTGAAGCCATCCAGTTTGTCATATAGTTGTTAATTTGCCATTATTAACGTCTGTAGTCTCCAAATATGAAATGAATGTCACAGTCTGCTTTGTCTTTTATTTTGAGTTCACTGGAATCTATCTATCTACGAGGGTTGTCCCAGAAATACGCGAACATTTTCAATATCTTTTGTTTCACTAATACTATAAAGTTAAAAATTGGCATACATCGTGATCAACATTTTTTGAATAATGCATAAAAATTTCAATGAATTATCTCTATAAATAACATTTCCCTCTCAGTTAAATGAATCATACAAATCAGCTGTCGTCGCAACACACGACGACGTCAAAACGAAGCTCGTGGCTTTTGTGAATTTGTTCTGGAAATGTGCTTCTGATAAAATTTGTTTAAGCATAAATTGGGAATGTATTTAATTTTCTTACATTTACCAAGTTATAAATCTCAAATACTAGTGTTACCAAAAGATTGCGGAATACATTCTTTTAATAGACAATTTCTCAATCCCGATAATAAACCTAACAGTTCGCATTGTTTAATTAACGGCGGACTTCACACAGGCCTATGACGTCCAGCTCCTGACTTTTAGTTTGTCTTCATTTTTGTTGGTCTACAAAACTCCTCTTGTATCAGATAACTAGTCAAGCCATCCTCAAACCTCTTCAACTAGATTTATATTTCTTTTTTCCATCGTTAACATCTCTTTTATCGTATGGACAGGAGTAATATCCCGCTCAACAAAGTACTACTTAATAATTTGGTGCTCCACATTATCACCAAACGTCACCATTTTTGACAATATCTAATTAAAAGTGTTTTGGTATATAACGTCATATATTTGTCATTAATGATGTCAACTTGATGAATTTTTATACACGAGTACACCAGATCAAAGAGTATTTATGGAGGTAAATTTTGTGACATTATATTTACGTATAGCTTGGTAATAAAGAAAGCTTCATTGACAATGCTACTTTTAAGAGTCAAACAATTGCCGTGCGCCGACCACCGATATTTAACACCCTTTAAATGCTGTTTTATATACTTATGACAGCACAAGCCTAAAACATTTTGTCAAATAAGCGAAAATATCAATTTCCAACAACGTGCAACAAATTATTAGTTTTGGTCGAATAGTTTCTGAAATATTCAAAAAGCTCGCGTTTTTCTGGGACAACCCTCGTATCTATCTATCTATACATCTTTCTTTCCTTCTTTCTTAAAGGAACCCAAACTTAAGCTAGTCAATTTCTAAAGAACTAGGTATATTAAGAGTCAATTTGTGCACCCTTATGTTCAACATTTTTAACGTGATACAGCTATGTTAAATTGAATTTTATTTTGTAGATAAAGAGTTTATATGAAAGATATTTTCAATAGATTCATCTCATTTATATTCACACACTAGTTGTAAATGACGTCAGAAATTATACTATTAATTGCAACCCAATCAAAATAAGACAAAAATGTGCCTTTTTCTTCACATTTTTCCTTGTTGAAACATAGGGCGGATCTTTGAACAAGGAATATTTTTTGTCAGTAATGTCTTGGACAGATACATATCTTTGGTGTAAAAATAAAATGTTCAAGTTTGTGCTAAATATTTTCTGGAAGAAAAACTGCTTGATAATAAGCAATTATACGAAATTTACTTCAATATTTGTTTGTTGTTTAACCTCCCTCTCGAGAATTTTTCCCTCATATGGAGATGATCTGGCGATCATCAGAGGTTGACATTCATCAACTCTGCCAAGATACTAATTTACAATTATTTTGTAAAATATAGTTTGTGTACAATATTTCTGATAATTTATTTGAAATATTGCTAAGAGTACAGTTCATCAACTTTCAATGTTGTATCAAATGTAGGAAAACCTAAAAAAGAACACAGAAACATAAAAAAAAAAATCCAAAACAGGCTTCTCTCATCTACAAAATAAAGAAAAATATATATACAATAAAAGTGATAGTAAAACCATTGTTTACAATTTACAATAAATATCAATTTATAAAATAGCAAATGTATCAAATAAAATAACATACTTAGGGGTGATGGCCGCTGTCATGATGACAAGCGCAATGGCCATTATGACATTCAGCAACTTGGTTTTCGGCGCATGTGCAGTCAGCAGGGGATGTACATTGTTCTTTTTCTCTTTTTCCGGTACTGAAAAAATGTATCAATTTTGAGGATACAGTGCTATTGCCTTACGAATACAGTCACGCAAAACAAGGCTTCTCTATATTGAATTTAAATGGAATCAAGAATCGTCTACACATGATATATATCAAGACCGTGATTCATTACATTATTTTTAGTTTTTTTTTTAACTTCATTTAGCATGATGGAGTAAGACCACCAGGAAGTTCATTCGGAAATATTTTCAAAATGTGAGAGATTATTCATATACACATGTATTTAAAATTTAACTGAAAGAGTTGTGCTAAGATAAAATTTCAGCAACATTGAGAATTTGCAACGAAATATATATAGGACGTTAACAGTATTGAAAGATCACTGGTGTCGTGTGATAAATATAAATTTGCTAAAGATAAAATTTTAAAAATGAAACAGAATTCGGAATGAGACTCAGGATTGTTTAATACAGTGTAAATGATACTAAGATTATGATGTACAGAATGGTGAGATTAGGTGTAAAGCTAGGATTACGAGAACTCAGGAGTTAAAGAATTTTAAGATTTAGTGAAAAGGATACTGACATTCATTTGTGAGAAAAAAAAACGTGACTCACGGATGATGTGGTGGGTTGTGATTTCCGTTGTCATGGTGACCATCGTGGTGACAGTGGCACATACCGTTGTCACAACTGGCCACTTCATGATCTCCTGTGCATGTGCAGTCGTCAGTTGTTACGCAAGAGGTAGTCTGGCGTTTTCCTCTTTCAATTAAATAACAAATTTAGCTTTCATCACTTAGCTTTTCTTTAAAGATAATTACAATTTGATAAATGGCATTTTTAGAAACATTTGAATATAAATCTTTTGAAATTCGTTGGGTACTAATTGCTCTCGTTATTGGCAGACCTGGTGTTGTAATCAGAGGAAGCAGAATTTATTTTAAAAAACTTCTACATGAAAAGAAGAAGTCTCTTGTTGTGGCACTCAATTCCACATTTAGAAATATCGACGACATTTTATCAGATAATAATATACAGTTTCATTCCTGATTCAAAATATTCCAATGAACAAGAAATAAAAGACACCACATTCTGACACATCTTGGACATTTAACTAGAGACATTGATGGCAAGCTGACAACTTTATAATAAACGTGATTATTTCGAATTTTCTATCGTCAATTTTCCTTACTGTACACAGGGTTGTTTTCGTCCCGTGTTATTTTCGCCCTTTCACACTTGCAAACAACATTGCCCCGTTTTAAATTCGCCCAGTCACAGATCTGTTTACAAATTGTATTGTGTTCTTTGAAATCACCTCGTTTCAAATTTCCCCAGCTGTTAGTAGGGCGAAAGGGGCATTAATAAAACGAGAGCGAATATTTCCCTGTATACAGTATTTATGTAGCAATATACCACCTGTATATGGAGTTCATGTCTCCCATTTGGTACGATACGCAAGAGCATGTTCTTGTACGAACAATTTCTAAAACGAGGCAGGCTATTGACACATAAGTTGATGTCAATCAGTTGAGGATATCAGCAATCTCGTTTCAAATCAACATTTCGCAAATTCTATGGTCGATACAATGACCTAGTTTACAAATACAATCTGTCATTAAGTCGAATGTTTACTGTGACGTCTTTCAATTATCAGATGTTGTGCAGGAGGTAGTCTGGCGCTTTCCTCTTTCAATTTAAGCAATACATTTAGCTTTCATCACTGATTTACAGCTAAGATATTCATAGATAATTATAAATGGCATTTTAGAAATCTCTGAATGAAAAACGTGAATATCAAGAAAGGTAAAGGATTTCATAAACCTGTAAAGAATACGAATTTTTGTTAGGACTAAAGAGACCCCTGGAAACACCAGAGGTAGGATAGTGTGCCAAGGAGGATTACGCATCCCCTGTCAACTGATCACACCCACCGTGAGCCCTCTGTATTGATAAGGGTAAGGGAGTAATCCCTAGTCAAAGTCAGTGTAAAAATGGCCCAACAATTGATATATAATATGTCAGACATACCACTCTATGATAGGTTGTAAATACCTTGTAGTGCATTTACTAATTTTCCTATTTATATTTCACACACATTGTTAACATATGGAAAAGATGCAAAAAATGAATGAAAGGAACTCAGGGTGAAGTGTAGAATTTTAAGATATATTAAAGAATGTTAGTGAAAAAAAGGGACTCACGGATGATGGGGTGGGTTGTGGTTTCCGTTGTCGTGGTGGGGATCATGGTGACAGTGGCACATTCCGTTTTCACAACTGGCCACTTCATGATCTCCAGTGCATGTGCAGTCGTCAGTTGTTACACAAGAGGTAGTCTGACGTTTTCTTTATTAATTAAAAATAACACGATCAAATTTCATCATTGTTTCCTGCGAAGTTATTCTTAAATGTCATTACAATTTTGTCTTTGTGTAAATACCTCTTTTGACTTTAATTTTAAAATTGCCTACCTGTAAATGTACTTAATTGAATGAATTGAAAAATTTAATTAATTTGGCTTACGGATGATGGCCGCCATCGTGGTGGCATGAACAGTCCTCTTTACTCAAAACTATTATATCATTCATTAGACCGACTAGAGTTATCATAACCATATATTTTTCATTCGATTTATCTGCAACACATACTTCAGAGTCTAATCTCACCCGTTGTGTCCACAATCACAGTGTCCATTTGAGTTACAAACTCCTGTCTGTCCGTCAGGACATGTGCACTGGTGGCCATTATGACAAAGTGCACGTCTGAAAAATCAACACCAATTACTAAAAGTAATACATTGGAATCAAAACTGGTTCTTAAAACGACTATACACTAGTTATTATACTTTCGTGTTGTCATTTACTTTGCTGATATACTAAAGAAATTTAAACATATAATTTAGTTTTAACACCCAATTGCTGTTAACTCATTCAAAAAAGATCATTTCAATATTACAACTAACATTTTTTAAACGTTTTCATTGTTGCCTTTGTGACAACACCTTTCCCAACTTTTATTTTAAGGGAGTGTATTCAAACTTTAAAGTATTTGACTAATGGATATGGCTTACGGATGATGACCACCATCATGGTGACATGAACAGTGTCCATGGTGACAGGCAGCAACCTGATTATCAGCACATGTACAGTCAGCAGCGGTTGTGCATGAGGCTACTTGTCTTTTCCTATCCAAAAAATATTTAGTAAAATAGAAAATTTAAGTAATTTGTAAGGAAATAAACTGTTAATTTTGAACCGAAATAGGTAGAAGAAATAATAGCCGTGATGATAGCAGACACAGCATCCATCAGCTCAGAAATCAAGTCCTTGAATATTGCAATAAACCTATGATTTTGATTCTCTTTTCTTCGTCCCACTTAATAAACATTTAAAAGATTCCTTATAAATTGTTATATGTAAACATACTTCAAAATCTAATCTTACCCGTTGTGTCCACAGTCACAGTGTCCATTTGAGTTACAAACACCTGTCTGTCCGTCAGGACATGTGCACTGGTGGCCATTATGACAAAGAGCACGTCTGAATACAACACAAATTAACAACATTAGTACATGTACATTAGTACATTGCATTGGAATCAGAACTGATTCGACATTGACTATCGTTACGTACGGATGATGACCGCTATCATGATGGCATGTGCAGTGTCCATGGTGACAAGCAGCAACCTGGTTGCTTGCGCATGATGTGCAATCAGCATCTGTTGTACATTGACTAGTCTGTTGTCGTTTTCTTCATTTACAAGAAAATTTTAAAAATCGATCAGCTTTCATTACTCATTTGCTTCTGTGTTATTTGCAAATAACCCTACCAATTTTGTAAATGACATCTTCTACGGAGGAATTATTTTAATTCGGGAGGGGGGTCAACGTTCATAGGCAATAAACTTTTTATTGGTTTTGGGGGACATGGTTGTGTGGTTACTCCGTATTTACAGAAGACTGAATGAATTGTTATTTCGAGAAAATTTGTTTGTGAGATGTAAATTCTTGAGTACGGGGGCCCAAGAATTAAATCAACAAACAATGCCCCCCGAACAATAATGATTCAACAGTCAACTTTTCAATAATAGTATATAACTTTGTTGCAATTCTAATTTCCTTTAATTTCAAAAATTGCATAGCTACCCATCACAAAAATTGTTTGAAATCTCAAAAGAATTTGATACTTAATAATGGCTTACGGATGGTGACCACCATCATGGTGACATGAACAGTGTCCATGGTGACAGGCAGCAACCTGGTTATCAGCACAGGTACAGTCAGCAGCGGTTGTGCATGAGGCTACTTGTCTTTTTCTATCGCAAAATAATAATAAGGTAAAATGAAAAACATTAAAAATATATAATTTGTAAGGACAAAACACTGGAATTTTTGGCTTAGGTAAAAGAAATAATTGTTGTGATGAAGGCACACCACTGTATCCACGTTAACAACTGGTTGTGCATTGCAACAGACTTTTGCTTTTGCAGATCATTTTGCTTCTGTTTTTCTAAGAAATTCCTTGTATGAATTACTTCGATGTCTTGAGGTTATAATTTTTCAAACGAAATCCCTTAATCCCTTAATCTTTTATATTTGAGTGCTTCAATACTGCATGATCTTGGTTTATAATGAAATAATCTATTTATACAAATCTTTTGCTGTCAATGATCTCTGCATAATATTTAATTACTTGCTAACTCATTGGTTGAAGTCTGTCCTCTGAATGAAGACATGATACGCATAAAAAACGAATTTCTTTGTGGAATAATTGTAAATATTTATCAATTTGATGTTAGATGCACTAAACTCCTGTCCAGATACAGGATTTCAAGTTATCGATAAAAAATGTTTTGTTTCCTTAGAGTGGATCTCTTTTCTCATATTGTTGGCAATTAATGATTTTTTTTTTACCAAATAAATAAATTAAGCATAGAAAAGGCCTCAAACTGTACATTCTGTGAGAAAAAGAACAAATCGAGGGTCGTATGTGTCCTAGAATACTACTAGTTTTTTCTCTCACAGAATGGACAATTTGAGGCCTTTCTCCTATTTAAAACACTACTTTCTTTGTTACGAGAATTAAGGGGGAAAATAGAAAACTGGTATCGTAGTAAGAATTTGTCAGATGACAAGTTCATTGTTTACAAAATAGACAGTCACAAGTAATCTAGGAACTTCGACCTGAAATCAAAGAAAACGGTATTATATCTTGAACAAAACTGTGTCTTAGCGAATTCAAAAAGGGGTAAAATTGTTTGCAGATGTGAAAGGGCGGAAATAAGCCTGTATACAGTATGTCAGCAACAATCGACCCCCTCTCTACTAACATTTCATGAAGGAATATAAGTTTCTACTGGCTCATATATTAATTCATCATTAGTTGTACCTTGGCTAGGATGGGGTGTCCTCTTAACACAAAATATCAGAACTTAAATCGCGTCTGCTCTGTTGTTCTCGTAAAACAATTAATATGAAATCACCATTTCTCTTAATTGCAAATCAGATATCTATTAAATAAATCAGATTCTACTCTCACCCGTTGTGTCCACAGTCACAGTGTCCATTTGAGTTACAAACACCTGTCTGTCCGTCAGGACATGGGCACTGGTGGCCATTATGACAAAGAGCACGTCTGAAAAATCAACACAAAATTTCAAAAGTAGTCCATTACATTGGAATCAGAACTGATTCGAAAATGACTATACATATGATGACTATTATCATGATGACATGTGCAGTGTCCATGGTGACAGCAGCAACCTGGTTGCTTGCACATGTTGTGTAATTAGCATAAGTTTTATATTGGCTAGCCTGTTCACTTTTCGTTACAAACAAAATGAATAAAACAAAATAATACTGAATTAGCTTTGATGTGAATTGTTCTTAATGTTACTCAAGGGATCGTTATGATTTGATAAAAGACATTTTATAACCTTTTAAAATTTTGTACAAATACCTTTCCTTGTTTTTAAAATTGCTTGCCTAACCTAAAATAAGTTCCTTAAAATCAACAAAGTATTTGATCAGTGATTATGACTTACGGATGATGACCACTATCATGGTGACATGAACAGTGACCATGGTGACAGGCAGCTACCTGGTTATCAGCACATGTACAGTCTGCAGCGGTTGTGCATGATGCTACTTGTCTTTTTCTATCATAAAATAATTGTAAGATTAAAATGAAAATAAAATCATTTTTTTTATTACTTGCTTTCTTTTTTGTTGAAAGGTCTGTCATCTGTATGAAGACATGATACGCATAATTAACGAATTTCTGTGTGGTACATTTTAAAATATTCATCAGTTTGTTGTTAGAAGAAATATGGAGATAACGAGCAGTATTCAAGCTTTAAAATCCATTCAAATGCACCAAAGTCCGGTCCAGATCCAGGATTTCATATTATCGATAAAAATGTTTTTTCCTTCTTTTTTTTTTTTTTTTTCGCAAAGAGAAGATCTTTATTTACCATAATGTTGACAATGAGTAGTTTTTTAACAAATGTTTAAAGTAAAAAAAAAAACCCATATGGAACCAGTTTTACAAAGTAAGGAAGAAATACCTTTTTTTCACCTAATGCACTTCTACATACCTTATATAGCTACACCGCATTTTGGTATATTTGCAATCCGTTCAATGAGTGACCATGGTGGCCTTGAATAATTATCTCATGTCTCTGTCTCTATTATTGCCAAGTGAACTAAGTAACTTTATTGAACCCAGAAATAGAACAAATTTTCCAACAGATATAATCATTCGATTTCAAACAAGTCATCAACTTGATCCTGAACCACAATCGTATGATCAGATGAAATTAAAGTACTATGTCAGCAATAATTGACCTCGTTTCTATTAACATTTAATAAAGGAATATAAGTTACTGCTGGCTCATATATTAAGTTATCATAAGTTGTACCTTAGCTAGGTTGAGGTGTGCTCTTAACATAAAATATCAGAATTTAAATCACGTCTGTTCTACTGTATGCTTAACAATTAATAAATCACCATTTCTCTTAACTCTAAATCAGTTATCAATAACATAAATTTCAGATTCTACTCTTACCCGTTGTTTCCACAGTCGCAGTGTCCATTTGAGTTACAAACACCTGTCTGTCCGTCAGGACATGTGCACTGGTGGCCATTATGACAAAGAGCACGTCTGAAAAATCAACACTAAATTTTCAAAAGAAGTTCATTACACTGGAATCAGAACAACAGAAATTATTCACTTATTACGTACGGATGATGACCGCTGTCATGATGACATGTGCAGTGTCCATGGTGACAAGCAGCAACCTGGTTGCTGGCGCATGATGTACAATCAGCATCAGTTGTACATTGGCTAGCCTGTTGGCGTTTTCTTTATTAAGAAAATGAATGAAAAAATAAGCTTTAATGACCGAATTGCTTTTAAATTTTACAAAAAAGGTTCGTTATCATTTTGTAAAAGGCATTTTAATAACCTTAAAAAATATGTCTTCGCGTAAAAATATCTGATATTAGTTTTTAAAATTGCTTGCCTAAACTACAAATAAGTTGGTTAAAACCTACAAAGAACTTGATGAATGATAATGTCTTACGGGTGATGACCACTATCATGGTGGCATGAACAGTGTCCATGGTGACAGGCAGCAACCTGGTTATCAGCACATGTACAGTCAGCAGCGGTTGTGCATGAAGCTACTTGTCTTCTATCACAAGAATAATTATAAGGTAAAATAAAAAAAAATTAAATAATTTTATTACTTGCTTTCTTATTGGTCGAAAAGATGGCCCTCTGTATGAATGCATGAGACAATTACATGTAACGAAAGTAGTACATTACACTGGAATCTCAACTGATACTAAAATGTTTATTCACATATTACTGGCCTGTCGTAAACTTTGTAAAAAAAAAATAATGGAATTTTAGCATGTGATTTAGATTCAACACCCATGTGCTGTGATGTTATTCAAAAATGATAATCTAAATTTTATAAATAATATTTTTAAACCTTTAAATGAATCTCTTTATGACAAAATACCTTTCCCAACTTTTTTAAATTAAATTGACTACCTACACTTCACTGATATTTACGAGTGAATTCAAACTTTAAAGTATTTGATCGATGAATATGACTTACGGGTGATGACCACTATCATGGTGGCATGAACAGTGTCCATGGTGACAGGCAGCAACCTGGTTATCAGCACATGTACAGTCAGCAGCGGTTGTGCATGAGGCTACTTGTCTTTTCCTATCAGAAAAATATTTAGTAACATAGTAAAGTTTTAGTAATTTGTAAGGATATTAAACTGAGAATTTTGAAACAGGTAAAAAAGAGAATTGTTGTGATGATGGCATACACAGTATCCATGTTATCAGATCAGCAATTAGGTCTTTGAACATTGCAACAGACTTATCATTTTGATTCTCTTTTTTTAAATTCACTTAATTATTTTTTTAAAAAAGAATTTAATATGTTGACGGTGCGACCGTTGGGGCGAGCGCATTGTTCACTTCATTTTAAAATCCGCCTCTTCAAACCGCACGAGACATTTGGAACGTCTAGACTGTGAGGTCACACGACGTCGTATATTGCTGCATTTCCATGAAAACGAAGTTTGAAAAATGCAAAAAAAAATTTGACAAAGAACGGTTAAAGCTGCTTAGACACAGATTGTCTGTATAATATCACAACTTATATGTTGCTATAGCATTTCACACGAAAAAAAATCAAAAACTTATTTAATCTGGAAATTATTGAAACTACGAATTTCGGGAGATGTTTGATTAACACATCCTTGCACTTTCGCAATTTTTAACTTTATCCTTAATACTTAAGAAAAGTAGCAATTTTGTTGTGTATTAATGAATGATATTACATCTATAATCCAGAAAATTCTAAGTAAAAATGTGCAAAAGCAAAACCCACTCACTTAAGCATTGTCAGCCCGTGCTCAGTGTTGTTTCGTTGTGTACAGAGTTTAACAAATCGAATACACCCGTGAAACGTAAACTGTTTTTGTAAACAGGGCACGAGCTCTGTTGTTGTTACTGTTTTCGTTTCACCGGGTGTGTTCAATTGTTAAACTCTGCACACACCACTGAGCACGGACTGACAATACTGGTGAGAGAATTTTGCTTTCTACATTTCTACTCTGAAATTTCTGCATTATAGTTTTAATATTTTTCATTAATAAACAACAAAATTGTTACTTTTCTAAAGTAATAAGGATAAAGTTAAAATTTGTGAAAGTGCAAGGAAATATCAAACGCGTACAGAAATTCAAAGTTTCAATAACTTCCAGATAAAATAAGATTTTTATCAAATTTTCATATGAAATGCTATAGCAACATATAAGTCATGAAATTATACAGAAAATTTGAGTAAATATTAACTTCAAATCTGTGTCTAAGTACCTTAATTTAATATACCATCTGTATGCAATATCCATTAAATTAAGGTGAGTTTATTTTTTTTTTTATGAATTTTTAGTTGTTCTTATCACGTAAAACGAAGTTAGCAGCGAGAACAACAAGCAATGCATTGTGGGTCCAGAATTACTGCGGAAAAAATTCTATTGAATGAATGTGCAGTTGTCCGACTTTTCTCTTCGCCCAGGCATTGTCGTTAGAGCTCGCAGTCGAGCGCCGCTTCGCACCGCTCGCTGCGCTTGCTATAACCATATCCATTACAAATAGTAATCTGTGACACATATTTCGGAATCTAATCTCACCCGTTGTTTCCACAGTCACAGTGTCCATTTGAATTACATACACCCGTCTGTCCGTCAGGGCATGTGCATTGGTGGCCATTATGGCAAAGAGCACGTCTGAAAAATCAACACGAAATATTGTAATGTAGAACATTAACTGGAATTAAATTTCGTTCTAAAATAATTACACTTATTATGTACGGGTGTGCAGCATCCATTGTGACAAGCAGCAACCTGGTTGCTGGCATGGCACATGTGCAGTCCGCCTACTGGCGTTTTCTTTATTGACGAAATAAATCGAAATCTTTTGATGATATGTTGCTTAATTATTTGCAAATAATCCTCAAAACTTTGTAAATGGCTTTTTATAAACTATTTAATGTCTGTCTTGGTGGCAAAACTTCTTTCGACTTGAATTTTAAAAATTGCCTAACTTACTATCCACAAAGTGCTTAAAATCTACGAAATTTTTGACGAATGATAATAGCTTACGGATGATGACCACCATCATGGTGACATGAACAGTGTCCATGGTGACAGGCAGCAACCTGGTTATCAGCACATGTACAGTCAGCAGCGGTTGTGCATGATGCTACTTGTCTTTTCCTATCACAAAAATAATAATAAGGTAAAATGAAAAAAAAAATTAAATAATTTTTATTACTTGCTTTCTTATTGGTTGAAAAGTTCGCCCTCTGTATGAATGCATGAGACAATTACATGTAACGAAAGTAGTACATTACACTGGAATCTCAACTGATACTAAAATGTTTATTCACATATTACTGGCCTGTCGTATACTTTCTCAAAAAAAAAAAATGGAATTTTAGCATGTGATTTAGATTCAACATCCATGTGCTGTGATGTTATTCAAAAATGATAATCTAAATTTTATAAATAATATTTTTAAACCTTTAAATGAATCTCTTTAAGGCAAATTACCTTTCCAAACTTTCTTTTTTTTTATTAAGTTGACTACCTACACTTCACTGATATTTACGAGTGAATTCAAACTTTAAAGTATTTGATCGATGAATATGACTTACGGGTGATGACCACTATCATGGTGGCATGAACAGTGTCCATGGTGACAGGCAGCAACCTGGTTATCAGCACATGTACAGTCAGCAGCGGTTGTGCAAGAGGCTACTTGTCTTTTCCTATATAATAATTTAATGTTAAATTAAAAAATAAATAATTTGTAAATACATTGATCAAATAAGATGGGTTAAAGAGAGAATTATTGTGATGATAACCAGTATCAATGCTGGCAACCTAGCAATCTGGTCATTAGAGCATTGCAACAAGCTCTTTCTCATTTCTTCCACATTTTCTATTTTTAGTAGAAAACTAATTTTTTAAATACTTTTATTTGATAAACCTTGATGTATTAACGGCCATGTTTTATATATTCAAACGAAATCTCTTTAACATTTTATTGAAATGATTATGTATAGGTAAATGTAAATCATCATATAATCTGCCACACATTCTGTTTACAGTGAAAGATCACGTCCTTATACTTTTTCAACACCTTGCTTTCTGATTTGCTGAAAGAGGTCTTCCTCAGTTAGAAGACATGATATGCATATAAATGAATTTCTCTGTGGTTCTTTTTTAAAACCACAATTTGTTTAAGTACTTCAAGATTTTAAATTATTCTGATCTATGATAGATTTCAAATAATCCATTCTTATACAAGCCCCGATTATTACGGGAAAAATCCTTTTGTGAACAAACTTTTATTATATAATCAATAGAGCCCCGTCCTAATACCAGAACCCCTGACAATGGGGTCATGAATATAACAATTTTAAAAGACGCATCATTGGTTATCATAACTATAAACTTAGTTTCTATCAAATCAATAAAGCCCCGCCCTAACACAAAAAAACCTGTATCCAGAGGTCATGAATTTCACAATTTTAAAAGAGACATCTTTGCTCATTATAAATATGAACTTAATACCTAGAAACAAACAAAACGTTTTTAATTCAATACATTTCAAAATATAATCAATAGAGCGCCCTCCCCTCCTTAAGCAACCCAACTCTTTATCCGGGGGCCATAATAATTTTGGAAGAGGCATCCTTGCTCATTACCGTGCACTTACTTTGTTTGCTGAGTACCCAAGAGCAGAAAAGAGGATTTTCGAAGAATTAGTGGATTTAATCTTTATATAATCAATAGAGCCCCACCCTAACACCAGAACCCCTGACCCAGGTGTCATGATTGGAATAATTTTTGAAGATGCACCCATGCAAATCATTACCACACACTTTGTTTGTATGTTAATCATACAGGAGTAGAGAAGAGGATTTTCAAAGAATCAATGCATTTTCTTTGCATGATCAATAGAGCCCCACCCTTACTCCAGAACTCATGACCCTGGAGCAATGAATTTCACAATTTTGATAAAGGACTAATTGTTTGTTAAAATCATGCCAACAGTTTTAGTGTTTGCTGTCCATTAATAAGAGAAGAAGATTTTTAAGAATTCCGCTAATCCCCCCCACCACCACCCCACCCCCCCCCCACCCCCCATGTAGATGCTCTACACCAAAATCGATTGTAATTGGTTCAGCGGTTTATGAGAAGAAGCTGAAAATAAAACAGAGAGTAATACGTGTACGTCACCTGAGTGACTCATGTGACCTCAAACGTTCATTATAATCTGAATATCTCGAATCATCTTAACATAGCATCTATTGACAAATCAAGCATATAAAGTGTGTCTGATTTTTTTTCCCCAAAAGTATATGATACAATATTAAATTAATCAGGAACGAATGACTTTTGTTCATGTTTTGCACACTTTCAGAATTCATATAGCTACACGTCATGTTGGGATATTTGAAATGCCAATGGTATTAGAAATCTTAAGTGTGCAACAAATACGAAGTGCCTAAAGGCCTTCACTTCATTTCAAAATTATGAGTTACCCATTAATTAACCATAATCAATCATCAATTGTGCACTAATTTACCATCTACCTTAAATATCAGTTATTTAAAACAAATTTCTAATCTCACCCGTTGTGTCCACAATCACAGTGTCCATTTGAGTTACAAACACCTGTCTGTCCGTCAGGACATGTGCACTGGTGACCATTATGACAAAGTGCACGTCTGAAAAATCAACATGAAATTTTCAAATGTAGCACGTGTAGTCAGCATTTGTTGTACACTGAAACAAAATGATATTAAACTTCAGTAAAATTCGTTTTAGTTACTTCCATTCATATTTGATATATATCCCGTGAGCTTGAATTACAAGATACCACAGATTCTGACATATCTGTTTCATATTTAGATATTTTACTAGAAAAAGACGTTAATGGTAACCTAACAACAAAGATGTATGATAAACGTGATGACTTTAACTTTTCAATCGTTAACTTCCCTTACTTATGTAGCAATATACCCTTATCACCTGCATATGGAGTTTATGTCTCTCAGTTGATTCGATACGCAAGAGCATGCTCTACGTATGAACAATATCTAAAACGGGACAAGCTATTGACAAACAAGTTGACGAAACAAGGGTATCAACAGACTCGTTTGAAGTCAACTTTTCGCAAGTTTTTCGGTCGATTCAATGCAATGACCTTGTCAACACATACAACCTATTATTGAGTCAAATGCTGACTGACGTTTTTCATACTAATTGTTAGGCCATTATTTATACACTAAACTGTCTGCGGATTTTTCCGGTTTTTGTTTCCCGATCATGACAAGGAGCACGCGGCGGGTGTGACCGGTCGGCAGGGGATGCTCACTCCTCCATGGCACCTGATCCCACCTCTAAATTTTGAGGTCCGTGGTTGCTCTGCTCCAAATTTGTATCGTTTTATTGGACTTTCGAGATTGAATACTGATCGTTACCTTCATATTTCATTATGATTAATAATGAGGAAAAACATACATTTTAACTTATAAAAATAATAAGTTTAGAAATGTAAAATAAACTGTTTATGCAAATATGTTGGAATCAAATCTTGGCTAAAATGGCTGTACAATTGAAGTTGGAACTTACGGGTGATGACCACTATCATGGTGACATGAACAGTGTCCATGGTGACAGGCAGCAACCTGGTTATCAGCACAGGTACAGTCAGCAGCGGTTGTGCATGAGGCTACTTGTCTTTTTCTATCGCAAAATAATTATAAGGTAAAATGAAAAATTTTAAATAATTAATTTGTAATGACAATGCATTGAGAATATAAGCTATGTAACAGACAGAATTATTGTGAAGACGGAATGCACATTTTCAAAGATGGCAACCCAGAAACTGGCCATTAGGGCCTTGCAACAATCTTATATTACTTTTCTTTGATTAACTATGATGTCTTGAGGGCGATGTCTTATTCAAACAAAATCTCTTCACATCGGATTGGGAACAAACTTTGTACACATTTTTTCAATGAAATATATGGAGATAACGAACAGTATTCAAGCTCAGAAGTCCATTAAACTTTACAAAATAGGTGCAGAGCAAACACGAACCTCCAAAACATCAGAGATGGGATCAAACGAATTTAATATTATTAGACAATTGTTGATTATGAGAAAAATGTTTTTATAAGTTGAATATTCTCAAATAAACTTAAAATAGCATCTTTCGACAAATCAGACAAATAAAGTATGCCTGATTGTTTTCCCTAAAATATAAATTAGAGAAATATGATACAACTTTAGAATAACGATGAACAAATGCCTTTTATTCATGTTTTGCATACTTTCAGAACTCATATAGCTACACCTCATGTTAAATATTTGCAATCTGTTGCATAAATATATATATATATATATATATATATATATATATATATATATACATTGTATATATATAATTCTATATTCATAAAATTTTTACAAATATATATTTATAAAATTCTACAATGATGGTGAACGAACCCAAACACAGAAGAATATATCCATAAGATAAGATAAAAAAGGATTTTACTCTATTTTATTCTTTGTGATTAATTTGTGTGTGAGGGTGAGTGTATGTGTGCACTTTCCTGCATTTAATAGCCTTCATGCATTGTAATCAAAAAGAAAATACCCATAGAAACATTTATTGGTTAATACTGAGAAAAAATCATGAACTTTTAATAGGATAAATGCTGACTTGGTTGAGAAATGTTAACTAAAATGTTCATAAAAATATGTTGGAATCAAATCTTGGCTAAAATCGCTGTACATTTTGAAATTACAACTTACGGGTGATGTCCGCTATCGTGATGACATGTGCAGTGTCCATGGTGACAAGCAGCAACCTGGTTGCTTGCGCATGATGTGCAATCAGCATCTGTTGTACATTGGCTGGCCTGCTGTCGTTTACTTTGTTCAAAAAAGTAAATCAAAGTAATGGTTTAACATTGACTTGGTTTATACTATTTTGTATTTGATGTTTTTATTGCTTTTGTTTATGTTATTTTTTTTAAATTCTAGCTTCTGTTGCCCATTTTTTATTATTCATTATTCATACTTTTAATCTTTTTCATAATTTTTCATAAACCGAGTCATATACTTCTTGAAATCAAGGTAAACCTCATTCTAATGCTGCAAAGAAAAGAAATCTTAAATCTAACATCATATATATATATATATATATATATATATATATATATATATATATATATATATATATATATATATATATATATATATATATTGGTTGGTCATCTAACGAAATATGATTTATTACGATAAACAGTGGAAAAAAAAACATCAAAAGCTGGTGATGTAAAATTTAATACGGAAAAAGTGATAGTTTTTTGAGAGAAGGGCGAGATTTCTGTCATTAAAATTAATCATGAGGACAACTGTTAGTATCGAGTGTGTAAAGAGTTTTACTAGGCATGAAAGCGATCCACTTATAACAGCCAAAAAATGTTTTACTCTATCACTAGAAAGAAAATCAATTCTGTCTTTTTATTTGGATGTTTTAACAAAAATGATATTCACTTTTCACTTTTGCTCTTTGGCTAGACAAATGAAGATGTCTACTGGGCATGTTAAAAATAGCGAGTAAGTACCAATATAATGTCTAAAGCAGGGAGCCGGGCTTTGTCCTGTTGAAAATAGCATCATGACCTTCTAGACTTGGAGGTTCTAGTTACATCCCTAGCTGTTTAACGATTTATGAATTTAGTAATGACTGTCGTCACTTTCGTGAAAATATATTTTTAAAAAAATCCTGTCCCAATCGTGAAATACATTTTATATCCAAATACAAAACATTGAATATCTTCTAGTTATTCTGCACTTTCAATACAGATTACGTCATCAAAGATCTGTTCGAAAACCAATATCAAGTATCGGACGGGCTTGAAAATAAAAGACTTAAATTACAGATCAAAACGAAAAAAACAATTAAAATATTAATTAATCTGATTATATTTAAATATACTGAGAAATATTGAGGTACCATTCATGTATTAAACATTTCTTGACTTTATAAGTTTAAAAGGACCTAAAATTGGTTCTTTTTAATTCTGATGAAAGAGGTACATATTTTAGCAAACATTCTTTTAATATATACCGGTATATTTTTGAAATGCAAAAACAAAACACATGTAAGCTTACATATTACTGGAATATTTTAAATATATGATAGATAGAACATATAACACTTTTTCAGAGGGCATATATATATATAGAGAGAGAGAGAGAAGTACAATATAAGATTGGGATAAGGTGTTACCTCACACTGGCGATTGCCAACCCTGAAACAAAAGGAAAAATATCAATGAAGCGTATCAACTTTCAAATATACGAATTAGATATAATTACCTTGTTTTGGTAAGTTTTGGCAATAGAAATTTATTCCTCCAAAAAATGAAATAATATAGTTCTTAAATACGGGTAAAAATTCTTTGTCAACAGTGCACTAGTGAGAAATATTCCAGCAATTTGACTTCTACGAAACCATTTAAATATTTCAAGTAAAATCAAGAATCTACAGTACTTATAAAGCATTGGAAAAATCTTGCATCAGTCAATATACAAACCTGCAAAAGCTACGACTGCAATGATCTGATAAATCCTCATGGTTACTATCATTAACAACAAAGATTATACCTAGAATACGCTTAAATATGATTTGTATCGTGTCGTCCTTCTATCGTGATAAGCCAAAGACCTTGTTTCCTAAACTGTCTGGCCAATTCTTCATGAAAAAGACAGCATTCTGGGTTAAAGTACGGAAGTAACAGTCAGCTGGATAAAATAGTTTTATTTTATTTACAAGAATAGGTTAGGTACACACATGTAAAAACACACACTAGAGAGAGAGAGAGAGAGAGAGTTTAATGAACCATTGTGTCTTTAATGTTATTTATCATATAGTTGAGCGTTAGTATTACTATTTTCTTCAATTGTTTTAATTGAAAAGAGACTGTTGAGAATTCTAATAAATTATTACGTGTGACACAAAACTAAAAGTATTCTAAAGTATCAGAAACGCAGTATCGATTTGAGGGGGGGGGGGATAAAAACTTGACAACTTGCCTGAAAAATCTTTTACAAGCAAAAAAAAAAGGAGGGGGTCGTAGAATCCTTTTGACAAGAAAAAAAGGTCGAAATTTTTAAACAAGAAAAATAAATAAATAGGCCTACATAAACATTGGAGGATGAAAAGTGGGGGGGGGGCTGTCCTTTCAATATACATTTTTATACTAAATTAAAGGTAAAACATTACGTTACTGAGTATACTAGGTCATTGAAATATTTTACAATACCTTTTCAAACTAACCAAACAACCTCGACCAAGAATTCAAGGTTCAAGACCGTGCAAGTCAATTGATAAGCAAATTGCGTGTCGGTTTCCACACTCTCCCTAAGAGCTCGTTCTAATAGTTCATACGGTCTCATCAGAACGTACATGCTGTCCCACAGTAGAATTCGAACCGCGACGTTACTCCGCGACACTAGAACGAAACATTTTAACCACTACGCCGATGGTGACTTTGGTGACTTGTTACGGTTCACCAGAAACTTGAGTTTAAAAAAATTCAAAAAGCAACAAAAAGGAAATTATACTTTGTTCGAAAATATATGCAAGACACCTAACATAATTATATGCGGAGAACTGATGCTACAATGTTAGATACTGCCACAATCTCCAACATGGAAAAATAAATTGATAATTTTTTGCTCACGTGAGCTGAAAGCTCAAGTGAGCTTTTCTGATCACATTTTGTCTGTAGTCCGTCTGTCTGTCTGTCTGTCTGTCTGTCTGTCTAGCTGTCTGTCCGTCTGTCTGTAAACTTTTCACATTTTCCACTTCTTCTCCAGAACCACTGAGCCAATTTAAACCAAACTTGCCACAAAGCATCCTTGGGTGAAGGGGGTTCAAGTTTGTTCAAATGAAGGGCCACGTCCTTTTCCAAGGGGAGATAATTAAGAATTTGTGAAAATTTAGTGTCATCTTTTAAAAATCTTCTTCTCAAGAACCATTGGGCCAGAAAAGTTGAAACTAATGTGAAACCTTCATTACATAGTGTAGATTCAAATTTGTTCAAATCATGCCCGGGGGTAGGGTGGGGCCACAATGGGGGATCAAAGTTTTACATAGGAATATATAGGAATTTGTTTTAGAAATCTTCTTCTCAAAAACAACAAAGCCACAATTAGTCATATTGATATGGAATCATCCTCAGGTAGTGTAGATTCAAGTTTATTCAATTCATGACCCCCGGGGGTAGGGTGGGGCTACAATTGGGGATCAAAGTTTTACATAGGAATATATAGAAAAAAAATCTTTAAAAATCTTCTTCTCAAGAACAACAAAGCCACAATTAGTCATATTGATATGGAATCATCCTCAGGTAGGTAGTGTAGATTCAAGTTTGTTCAAATCATGACCCTGGGTGGGGCCACAATGGGGGATCAAAGTTTTACATAGGAATATATAGGGAAAATCTTTAAATATCTTTTCAAGAACACGAAAGCCATGATTAGTCATATTGATATGGAAGCATCCCCAAGTATTGTAGATTCAAATTTGTTCAAGGCATCCTCCAGTAGTAGGGTGGGGCCATAATGGGGAATCAAGTTTTACAAAAGAACATATGTAGGAAATATCTTTAAAAATCTTCTTCTCAAG